CTGAAATCGCTCAACAGATTTGGCTATACATTGCACTCCTTTCTCTCAGCATTTCCATATGATTTTCTGAGTTTCTACTCCCTCGTTCTGCATTGTTTTTAACTTCAAATAAAGCAACTGTAAGTGTGATTTGCTACCGAACTTTGTGTTCGCTGAAACACTGGGGTTTGAAGTACCGCTACACCAGTGTGTGATTCGTTCTATCCTGGGAGGAAATAATCCATTACCTTGGGTACTAGGAGGGGATTAAATTCCTTAAGGAAACAGTGTGGATTCAGTGGGCTCGAATTAATTACCGTTTCATTACGATAACTTATATTTTGCAGAATTATTATTTACTAATACAGCAATATTGGCGGGACTAACATCGACTTGCTTTTTATTTGGGGAACGTTTGAGTTTAGTTCTCGCAGCTATGTTTTTAGTGGGGACATTCTGCCATTCTCATACTTTCCTGTCTAAACTCATGGCAAGACAAGAAAGTTTAATTATTTTCTGCATTAAATCGTAGTTATTCAATCAAATTTCTAGATCCTTCAAACACTCTATTTTTACTTGTTAAAACAAAAAGATGTATATAACTTGACTTGTTTCTTAAAGATTCTATTTATACTTGTTAAAACAAAAAGATGTATAGGCAATCAAAGATTCTTTCTCATATGGAGTCACTGCATCAGAGAAGCGTCCACAATTGACTCAAAATTTTGCTTCTTTCCAGCATTGCACACCAAAACTTCTGAGATGAGTTAATGACTTGAAATAACTGAAATTTGATGAGACGAGTATTTTGTTCGAGGATGGCTTTATTTTATTGATTGACAACTTACAAAGAATTGGATGTTTTACATACAAAAGAATATATGAACAGGAAGAAATAGTAGAGCACAAACACAAGTATACGAGACCAAATCAGTTGTATTCCTAGAAATACAAGTAGTTGGAGGAATCTGGACAGTTACTGGTGTCTCTACAGAGTATAGCTCGAGCTTCAACAATTGAACGAGGGGGCTCAATATCCTTCTCTTGTAGAGCATTTCCTTGCAATCTTTGCATTTGGGAAGCAAATATATCATCCAGAATCTGTAAATCAAACCATGCTGAATATGTCATCAAGAAATATTTGCATAAATATTACATTATATATACTGAATTTTAGCTCCACTTACCCCAAGAGCATGGTAAGAACCACTATACCACACTCGGTTCTCTTTTCTTCCTTCTAAAAATTTCAGTATGATCTAGCATAATAAGAAAAAATAACAAAATGCCATTAACTCAAGGGTAAAAAGAAAAAAAGGTTAATTAATCGTTGTAGTGAATAGCTCATATTTGAGATGGTCACTAGATAAACCAACCTGTCCCATTTTGTCCCAAAATCCACGGCAGATTGCAACAAATATTCCACTCGTAAAAACTTCTTTCAAGTTGCTTATGGAATCTGAGAGTTGTGAATTCAACAATTGCATTCTTTCACGGATTTCAGCCTCCCCATCTGCTTCCTTCGTTTCCTCCAAAATCCTTTGCAAACGTGTGCAACGATTTGCTTGCATCTGTTATCACATGGAGAAAAAGGTGAACCTCATTCCATGAATTAATGTTCCAATAAATAGTCGTGATTGATTGACAGTGAACGCATTAGATATCACATGGAGTAAACACATCACACATGGTTTACTCTCACCAATAAATAGCTAAATATGAGATAGTAGTTGCTTATCACATGGAGTAAACACATCACACATGGTTTACTCTCACCAATAAATAGCTAAATATGAGATAGTAGTTGCTTATCACATGGAGTAAACACATCACACATGGTTTACTCTCACCAATAAATAGCTAAATATGAGATAGTAGTTGCTTATCACATGGAGTAAACACATCACACATGGTTTACTCTCACCAATAAATAGCTAAATATGAGATAGTAGTTGCTTACATTAGTAGCAAGCTTGATTATTATTGCTTGCATGTAGTTTTTGTATTTAGTCCTCAGCAATACCGTAACTCCATTCAGTTGCTCCCCGAAAGTGGACTTCTTCTCTCCATTCGCTGGTAGATAGGATGCCCATGACTTCAATATGTCTTCTAGTTGACAGTGTAGAACGTCTAGAATTCTCTTGATTGTGTTCAAGAAAGTGCCCAACTGTCCAAAAAAAGCCCCAGCATATTTAGTTAGTTATGCTTCCTCTGCATTTGTGTGTATTAGCAGCTTATGCATCTCTTTGTTATGACACTAAATAACCTGTCCATCTATTACTAGCACTTACCTGATTAGGAATGCTATAGAGAGTAGTTGATTGCCTTCTTGCTAATTTCTGAACTTGCATGCCGAGCTTCTTTGGAATGCTATCCTTCAGTGGGGTCAAGATATCATTGTACTGTTTCTCTATGGCTTTTATAATTGCTCTTTCTACATTAGCAACAGCCTGTGATATCAACAGAAAGCTTTAATCAGCAAATGGAAGGGGTTCTCAGTTATTTATACATTTGCACAGCCATGAAACAGCATCAAGCATCTGTCTATATGTTTCCATGGATATGAAAATAGAGCTTACATTCTCCAAAATGACGGTGTACTGAGGCCAACGGTTGATTACTACTTCATACTCAGTTAACATTTGTTTGGTTTTCTCAAACATTTCTTCAGCAAAAGGAGAAGTAGAATAGTTCGTAATAACACCAGACCATAACACCTGATAGTTAGAATATGGAAAATCTTTAAGCCTCTCTTGCACAATATAACAAAACAAAAGGGGTTATTTCAAGTGAAGATTAAGAGCTGAGTTACCTTTTCTGCCTTGCAAAGCTCAAGTAAGTGAAGTTGCATATCCTCTATCCATACCATTATATAACTATGAAAGAGACCCCTCGAGTCTACACCACCTTGCACTCGACTGAATCATGGAAGAAAAGGAATAATAAATAACTTGTCTAAGAAAGCATAACGATTTCTTTGCTTCGATACAAATTTACTTGCGTTCAATATAACCTAATGTTCCATGAGTCTAGATTCCTCTCAAAATCAGCTGCTGCAATCAAAAGTTCATTCACATGTAGAGAAGGACTTGATGGAGGCCATGCAGCGAGAAAGTTCTTGAGCCTCTTACACAGTTCAGTGCTGTAAACTGAAGCCGTGATGCTTGTAAGGTCAATTGAACTGAAAAATGAATGTGCCCACTGTAAGACAATCTGAAGTTTTTGTTGGCAGTTTAAGTTGCACAACTGCAACAGCCAGCATAATACGAGAACTTAGAGCGGTAATTGTTGGCGTTTTTAGCCCTAACTTGACATGAATTTCATTGAAATGCATGACAATACAATCATGGATATGGACCAACAGATTGATGTCAAATGCATCTTATTTTTAGTTGCAACATACCTTGGAAGTATATGTTGATTGTGGATCTTAATATCTGCCTGGATTTCATTTGATATGCGGGAGCAAAGGTTCTTCATTTTCGAATAAGCAGTAGTTATTGTTACTGAATCCATGACAAAGCCGTCTAAGTTTGTTGACAAGAATTCATCAGTTTCAACCATGTGTTTTCGGCACCTCTTTGCTGCTGCTATCTGTTAAATCATATTTTCATTAGACTTATGATGAGACATCAACAAGTGTAAGCAAAACCAGACAACCAAATGCTCTACTCATTTACCTGTATATAGTTTCTAAGTGTCATCTGAGCATCTTGAGCAAGTATGTCATGGAGAAGAGTGTAAACTTGAACGGCAGGAGCAAGTGCTGGTGCTGCAGTTTCTGCTACAGGAGCCGAAATGTCTGCTAAACCTGTGGAACAGTTTTCATCCAAGGACTTGTAGTTTTCAAACACAGTGGCCAAGAGACTTCCAACTTCTGTTTCGCAATCCAGAAGCAAACTTTTCTGAAACAAGAAAAATTGTAAGTTTGCGTTCTCTGCTCAGGTGAACTTTTCGCCGGCTTACTGAAACTAGCATGTCCAGTTACAATGATTTTAACAATTCAAAAAGATAAGCCAGTATTGAAATAGTAAAAGGTAAAGGATCAACTAGATAGGCCACTTGTAAATGGTAACATATGCCTTCGCTTGAGTTTCTGAAAATGCTTTTACCTCCTCTTTAAATATATTGTTTTCTGTCTGAAAGAAGAAACTAATAACAAAATTAATATCACAGTTGAGAAGGGTAAGGTCGCATCATTGTTCTATGATACCATTTATCTACGACATCTCACTACTCGGGGAGGGATCCTGAAGAAATCATACTTAAGGATCCAACAAATCTTCTACATAGAGGAGCCAAATTTCAGGGTTCAAAGAAAATGTAAAGCAGGTCAAATAAAATGGCAGAAGAGAGTAAAATATTTGAAAGACAAAGGATGCGGCAATTAATTTAAGAAGGTTTGAAAATTTTTGCAATTACGGGAAACTAGATTAGCAATTACGGGAAACTAGATTAGAATTGGATTTTAAGAAATAATTCTGCAAAATGTCTAAATCTCCAGAATCACACCATCATCGAAGGTTTGAGAGTTCAGAGTTTGATACCTCTTGTCTTGTTAAACTTTTGTCGCTCCTTGCCTTCATCACTGGCACAAGCAACTCATGAATGAGCTCCAAACAATCTTTCGTTGGAGTGGCAACATCCATGACATATGAAAGGTACCTATTGAACTCTACTTAGTCAGCTTTGCTTAAAAGAGACATTAAGGGATATACCATTTGCATATATCACAAGCGTACCTTAATTTAGTATAGGTATCTGAGACCCCATAGTACTCAGAAAATTCTGTCAGTAACCAGTTCCAAGGTCCCTCAGACCTTAAACTTCGTGTACTGAATTGTTGAGCACGCATGGAAGCCTCCAGTAACAGATCATATGCAAGAGTCTCCGCAATAGGTCCACTCTGTTATAAATGGGAATCAAACACGTCACAAGTTTTTATTAACTCCTGCACCTATAAAATGAGCTAAGACACTATACACCAGCAGCAGTTTTGAGTATGTAGATTTTAATAATAATTGACAAATAATACTATTAGCTACAATCAAGAAAAATGCTTTTGTAGAAGAAATGCTGAGACCTCAAGTCAGAAAGGGCCAAAGGATAAAGACCTCGAGTTAAATGGCTTAAGGTTAAGTCTCCAGTCTGTAGCTGTTTTTTCTTCTTTTCTTTTATAAGCGAGAAAGAAAAAGATACATATTTAGCATGTCAAATGTTATGTGCTAGCTAGAAAATATGTATAAATCTCAAGAACGGAGATAGGCGATGAGGCCGATAGAATGTTACACTTACCAAAATGAATTAACAACCACTAGCTTAAGGGAAAGATAATGAATAAGCTTAGAAATCATACTTTTTGCAGATTCAAATTTAAATGTTACTCTTCTGACTTCAATTGAAAAATATATGATGTTACCTACTCATATTTAACTTAGATTACGACAAAAACATTCATATTCCACGGGACAGAAGTGAAATATGGTGGAGTGTCCATGTTAAAAACCTTGACTTGTGTTGTCTCATCAGTTGTCAATGTACAATTGATTGATAGCTGGACCTTCCCAACACATTCATTATCATCATGATAAATGGGCCACCAGCGAATCTTATCATTCTGGAACAATTACGAAACTGATGTAAGAAGGCAGTATAATGAGAATTTCAAAGCTGAATAAAATAGCCATAACAATATGACCTATTGCAGGATTAGACATACATTACTGTCAGTCACGGCTGAGATCGGTATTGAAGTTCGACCCAAAGTACTTCTCTTCATATCCTGTACTTCAAGCAAAAGAGCATCTCCTTGGTTCTCTGGGAAACTGTATTCGGAAATGTGTTAGATCTCTGTATGTATGCGCTGAGGAGCTATATCTCCCGGACGAAAGTATCTTGTCTGGAGAAATTAACATCTGAACACAACTGTTTGATATCAAATATAAAACTGAAGTACAGGACTATTCTTACATATGAGAATGCAAGCATCGGGACATGGTGTCACAAAAATCTAAATATAATCATCATATTTCCTAACTACTTATAAAGGTGACCATACAATTGGAATCTTGACACAAATGTTCTTTTTCCTCATCTTGCAAATTCTAATCAGCGAAAAGAAGTGAATCTCATAAAGCTTATTGTTGTAAGATAACCGCACAACTGGAAGTCTTCTCATTCCTAACAATATTCAGGACACAGTTCACTGGATTATTTAACTGGATTATAAGCATTATAGAACCAGTATGAAGTAAAATAACAACTTACAAGTCATGGTGATCACCACTTCCAGGCTGCAGCATAACAGCAGAATTTGGTTCAAATTTAGTATCTTCCATTGAACTCTTCAGGAGAACTAAGCATCTCAAGGATTCTGCAGACAACATCGTGGAAAACATCTATGTTATTTATGTACGAGGATCTTAAAACTCTACATGGTTTTTATTTGATTTTGATAGTTCTAGAAATCTACTTATTGTCAGAGCGTGCATGAATTCCTAACACGTACATAAGAACCAATGTAGATCATCAATACGTTACTAGTTAATGAATCAGCTAGGCCCCTATACCAAACTAGGTTGGATCAGTTGTATGAATCGGTGGGAACCATTACACACTATTCGGGCCATCTCATTCCAATATATTTTGTCTTTTAGAACAAGCTAGGAGTTCTTTAAAACTAGAGTGTTCCCAAGTCTCACACAAATCCATAACCACGTTAGAAAACCTCCTTACACAATCTAATACAGATGTAACAACTAGCTGGTATCGCCTATATGGTTTGATTGCTTCCATTTTATTAACTAGGCTGCCTTAATTGCGAGAGGTGGTAGTTCTTCATATGATTTTAGGTCTATATTGGCCCCATTTAGCACCCCTCAATCATCATATTGTCTCGCCTAGAGAAGACCATCACCATCAATGCCTTTATCAGGAAATAAGAAAAGAAAAAAAAAAGTCAATCAGGTCGCTATTTTATCATCTAGAATAATCATTCTAAGAGAATCAAGCAAGCCGTTCGTGTCAGAATTCTGTAAACCTTTTAAAAGACAATGTTTTTTCAACTCCACATGCATTTTTGGTACTTGTTTCCATGAGCCAATTGAAGAGAAAAGATCATTCAATAAGAAGTACTAACCTTCGGATGTCAGCAGAAATGAATGAATTTTAAGAGAATTGATTCCATTTTTAACCAGTGAAGAAACAACTATGTTATTATTTGATTTTGATAGTTCCAGAAATCTACTTATTGTCAGAGCGTGCATGAATTCCTAACACGTACATAAGAACCAATGTAGATCATCAATACGTTACTAGTTAATGAATCAGCTAGGCCCCTATACCAAACTAGGTTGGATCAGTTGTATGAATCGGTGGGAACCATTACACACTATTCGGGCCATCTCATTCCAATATATTTTGTCTTTTAGAACAAGCTAGGAGTTCTTTAAAACTAGAGTGTTCCCAAGTCTCACACAAATCCATAACCACGTTAGAAAACCTCCTTACTAACACAATCTAATACAGATGTAACAAGTAGCTGGTATCGCCTATATGGTTTGATTGCTTCCATTTTATTAACTAGGCTGCCTTAATTGCGAGAGGTAGTAGTTCTTTTGATACACTTCTCTTCATATGATTTTAGGTCTACATTGGCCCCATTTAGCACCCCTCAATCATCATATTGTCTCGCCTAGAGAAGACCATCACCATCAATGACTTTATCAGGAAATAAGAAAAGAAAAAAAAAAGTCAATCAGGTCGCTATTTTATCATCTAGAATAATCATTCTAAGAGAATCAAGCAAGCCGTTCGTGTCAGAATTCTGTAAACCTTTTAAAAGACAATGTTTTTTCAACTCCACATGCATTTTTGGTACTTGTTTCCATGAGCCAATTGAAGAGAAAAGATCATTCAATAAGAAGTACTAACCTTCGGATGTCAGCAGAAATGAATGAATTTTAAGAGAATTGATTCCATTTTTCACCAGTGAAGAAACATGTCGGACATATTCTGCTCCTGCCTGCATGCTAATTGCACCTCGCATTGAGTTTGTGCTCTTAAGTTTCCTCTTTGGTATGATTCTTAACTTTCTTACTGCAATTGGTTTTGAGATGGTGTCAAGCATTATATACTATGCAAGTAAAAGATACACATTACATCACAGAATAAGATATCTGCTTGCAATATAGTGTCACGACTTTTATTTCACTTTCTTCATCTGGAACATCTAAAGGCTACATTCTAACACATCTTAGGCAAAAGATAAGTCAACCTGTCAAATTTTAGCTGGAAAATAATGTGCCTAGAAGGGAGCAAGACGTCACAGAGATTAGTAGATGAAACCATAACTTATTATTCAAATATGATTCACAGCTATTATTTAATGAACTACCCATTCTAACGCATCTTAGTCGAATAAGTGAACTATTTTACTTTAACCAGAAAGTAATGTGTCTAGAAGGGAACAAGATCATAGAAATTGCAGGATTAAACCATAACTTATTATTCAAATCTGTCTTCACAAACGGAAAAAAAAAATAGCTCTGAACTATAAGTAATGTGTCTAGAAGGGAACAAGATTCATAGAAATTGCAGGATTAAACCATAACTTATTATTCAAATCTGTCTTCACAAAAGGAAAAAAAAAACTAGCCCTGAACTATAAATTACCTACCTTACCTCCGAGGCTCGGACACACACACACAAATAAAAACCAAGGACCTGCACTATCTATTACCTCAAAAATTAAGCATAAATAAGCGTTCTTGATGTATAAGCGTTCTTGATGTATACCTTCCACACGAACCTTCCCCACTAGTTTTCTCACTTTCAAGGGCAATGTTTGTCCATTATTGATCCTTTCTGTTGTCTGCATGCCTCGAGGTTGCAGCAACAGTTTCTGCAAGCTGCGAGTTGAATAAGATGGTGAGGGAAAAATTGTTGTAGCCATTAAAGCTGCTTTTAAAGTGATTCAATAGGAGAAAATACAAGCTAGCATACCAGAAAGCACTTCGAAGCAGCTGGCATTCATCGCGTAAAAATTCCGGTGCTTCAACACATCCTCTTGCCCAAGCATTTAGGCATAGACGAATGCAGGCATCATAAGCCAAGAGAACTTGCCATCCATTTTGACTGATGTTTCAAAGAAATGCTCAGTAGTTGCAATCTAATAAATAAGGTTTAGAAGAAGTACACATCTTTTATGAACCCTAATGTGGACTGACACCAAAGGAAAATGGCTATACGTAGAGCTACTTATAGTGGAGTAGTAAATAAGGTGCAGAGGGAAGCAGAAGTCTTTGGCTTTATCAATATGAGGGATGTGCAAATTAAGTTATTGCTAGATTCTGCTACCATTTCAATGAGAACCTACTCAACAAATCCTGCGGGTCAGACTAAACTTTTGCTAATGGTTCCACTCACCTAAAACCCTGTCCAAACCTTTTCTTTTTTCGGAAGAAGTGTGTCTGCGTCTTTTTTTTTTTTTTTGGGAAGGGGGGGGTTGATTATCAAACATATTGAGTCAACATAAGGCCATGGCAAAACACAAACCCTTTATGCTCTTTAATTTATAAGTAACTTTCTTATTATTATTCAAAAACCCAAAGTTTTATGTGGACTTCTGCTTAGCCAAGGAACATGCTATAACCGGAGCAGGAAATGCCACAGTTCCGCACTAAATCATAAGCCTTCTCAAAAATATACTTCTTTTTATTCTCCTTTCTTTTTTGTTGTAAACTAGAGAGGCAGCAAGATAATTGAAGTAAAAAAGTAAAACCTGGTATCATAACGGCTTGGAAATCCCACAGAATTTCCTTGCTTGAAAGAGAGCACAGTGTTTGTTTCCACAAAAGTTGTTTTATCTTCCCTGTACCAAAATGAAACAGTCATTGAAATGAAAGACAAAAATGTTTCATATGCTGAATGTCATTTCACTTTTTCATACCCTCGGCTTTCAGTCTCTGAAAGAATTTGTTCACTTCTATGACAAGCCTCTTCTGGAATATTTTTCTTATTGCTGTCCTGAGTTGTATACCAGGCCTCTTCTGGGGTTTCTTGAATATGTTTCTTATTATTGTGCTCAGTTCCAGAAAACCCTCCAGAAGTGCTCAATCCACTTCCACTTTCTTGTTCAGAGTTCTCTTCATCTGCTCCAATATCCAATATGGGTGGTGCACTTGGGGTTCCTAAGTCATTTAGCCTACCAACAGGTGTTGCCTGCATTACATACAGTTAACCTCTTATCAAGAAAAACTCAACTTTGATCATATAACCAATCAATCAATGATGGGAAAGGCTAAAGATTACCCCTTCCTATAATACCTAAATATCTTAATTTTACCCTCCGTCATACTATATCCATTAGAAAGTTGTCTCATATTTGCCTTTGACCTTAACATACCTCCAAAATGAAGTATAACGGAAGGTAATTTTAAACCACAACAAAACGTAAGTGGTTAATTTAAACCTTTTATACCCAAAGTTTTTTAAGACGTGGAATCTACTAACAGTCCATGCTAGAGCCAACAACAACAACATCAACAACCCAGTATAATTCTACAAGTGCGGTCTGAGGAGGAAAGTGTGTACACAGACCTTACCTCTACCCTGGGGTAGAGAGGCTGTTTTCGAAAGACTCTCGGCTCAACAAGATGAAAAGATACAATAGTAACAACAACAAAGGCCAGAAAGATATACCAACAACCTAAGTACCAGAAAAATAGATGTAAAAAGCAATAGCAATATCCAGAAACAATGGCAAGATACTCGGAAACCGCAGCAGTCCATGCTAGAGCCACTTAAAGGAAAGGGCAAAGACCAAACTCTTTGCTAATCGCAAAGGTACAATAGATGGCCTCAAAGTATAAGGAATAGTAAAATTAAAATATATCAGATAGTAGATAATTGAACCTTTTCCTATAAATTGATGATACTCCAATATAGCAAACTAATTGAGAATGAAGAGTAATGTTGAACTTACGTAGGCACTATGTGGTTGAACTTTATCACGCAGATAGCTAGGAACACTACTCAAAGGTGTAGCTTTGTGTTCGCTTCCCATAAACTCCTGCTCATTAAATCTCCTAATTCCATTTTCTGGTACTTCAATTCTAAGATTCTCTTGTAAAATTCCTCTATTAAGTGTGGAGCCATGTCGATTGCTTAATCCAACTCCTTTAACTTCACATCCGTTTGTACTCAATGTTTCTTGTTCAGAGTAGTGGCCGTCGAGTTCATCTGAAGCTGAAGCCACACTCTCACTCTCATCACCATCAAAGTCGTAATCATAATCATCTTCATTGCTGTCTATACTAAGTGTTTTCACTGTGTTATGGGGTTTTAGAAGACCCGAGTGAAATTTCAAGGGTGGTAATATATGTGAATTTGGGGTGTAAGTGGCTAACGGAGATCTGGGAATTAAGTATCTATCATCAAATTTTTCAGATAATGGCGATCTTGCATTACATGATTGTTTTACTTCAGTCCCCTGCACCCAAAAAATTTACCATATCAAGAATCAATTAGGAAACAAAATTAACAAGAACTCAGATGTAAAAACGAGTGGATATTTACAAAGTCGCAAACTCAGAAATTTGGCTTACCTGTTTGATCCAGTTAATTGCAGACTCGTCCAAACCTTCTGTAAACATTTCTGTTTGTTGGTTTCTACAAAAAGCAAATGAAGGAATGAAAAGGGTAAATTTGAAGAGGAAAAAAAGGAAAGAAAGAAAGCTGAGGAGGTATAATGGGGGGAGAGAGAGAGAGAGAGAGAGAGAGAGAGAGAGAGAGAGAGAGAAGAAGAGCGGTCTTTTGCTGAGTTGGGAAGTCCACCTCCTTCTAACGGCTAGTTTGAAAAAGGCTGAGATGAATTTAATACTATTTGCTGTTGCTGCCTCCCAAATAATTCTTTTCTATTTGCCGTTCGAGGCTAAAGCCTTCCTCCTCGCGTATGATTTGTCAAGCAAAAATTTAATTAAAAATTAGAGGAATTTACACATAATACATATGCCATTTGTTTTGTATATAATGTTGAACTACCCGAAATGTTTTTTAGACAAAACTACTAAATATATACATATGATATTTGTTTTATATATATTTTTTATCAATTTATGATTGAGTAAAATTAAATATTAAAATATGAATGTTATAATAAATTATTCTAGAATTTCAATTAGTGATCAACAAAAGCAAAATACTCGTTGAAAAATGAAATTAATGTTAATTTCACTGCTTATAAAAGGGAATTTTAAAGAAGAATTAACCTAAATAGCCATTCACATAACCACTTAGACTAATATATATATATATANTATTTGTGTTAAATCCCAATTTGAAATCATACTCCGTAATAATAAAAACCTAAAAAGGAAATGAATCATACCTCATAATAAAAAACCTTTCTTAATTATTTAATATTATTCATTAAATAACGTTCTTGATTAGTTTAATATTGGTTTAAAGTCAAATTACCTAAGGTTGAAGTTGCTTAGTGGTCTCTATCAACTTGTGCAACTTGTGATGATCCTTTTAGTTTAATTTAACTCTTTCCGTCTTCCTTTTTGATCGTCCGTCCCTGCAACACCCTCATGCTCTTCTTCTGTGAAAAATCACCTAATCAAAGAGCGAAGTGGTTCGTTTAGTTTGTTTCAAATTATTGCGGAAAGAGAACGTTGTAATTTGCTTTTATCTCGTTAGTTAATTAGATCTTTTTCTTTAATCTTACAATAGTTGCAAATGGACAAGGTTATTTTATCAATTTTCATTTCTTTTCAAATATAACCTTCTCTTGTTTTTATGCAAGTCTAATAAACGTGTAAGACAAATCAAATATATTTTCTTAGTTATTATGTTAGTTGCTCGTTTGAATTTGAGTAATTTAGAACAAAATCAAACCAAATATTCACTTGGATATTTCAAATTGCATATAGTGTGAAATATTTCTTTGCGTTACTTATATTTACTGAAGTCTAAATAATTTTTACATTATTAGCTCATTTTATAGAGAATTACTTGCTGTCATAGATTAATTTACCATGGGGGTGATTATAGTAACACATTGTCGGTGCACAGAATTAATTAATGTCACTGGCCGCGTAGTCCAATCCGAGGACAAAGCGTTTTTGGTGGCTGAAAGAGTACTTCTAAAGCCTAAGTACTATTCCTTCAAACTCCATTTGCTCTTACAAAATTTACTCTAGATCTTATAAAAAATTTATCGAAATAGAGGTTGTCGAGGTAAGGTAACAATGACTGGTGTTTTAAAAGGCGTTTTCGGGACGAGTCCTGGACGAAGCGTATCAAAAATGCCTCGGGGCGATGGTGTGGAGCGAAAGTCTCAAAAGGCGTACGCCTAGCAATTCGGGGTATACACCCGGACGTTCGAGGCGCATTTTTTTAGTGAGGAGTAAGTCTTATAGACTTTTTCAAATTAAAACAAAATTTGTTGAATAAGTCCTTCATATAATACCCAAATTCTCAAAAGTCAGTTTGGTAATTACTCAAAAGGTTTAAAAAGGAACTCAAAAGTATTAAATTTAAAAGTGAGGACCTTTTTTATTGATTGAATCCCTAATTCATGGTCTTTCCCAATTCTTTATCTTGTCCGCTAGTCTGCTAATATCTCCCAAAAGCAATGAATATTTAAATTGTTTTACAAATACAAAGAGAACTTCATTCTTCTTTATAGCAGCAAGTTCAAAGTTTAAATTGAAGGTTAATCATCCTTTTTATTCCTCCATGTAGAAAACTTTATTCTTTTAGACTCAAGTTACTTGTGCTTATAAATAGCGTATAATAGATTATTTTGACTAATTTTTTGTGGGGATGGAGCGCGCGCGCGCGCACACACATATATATATCGCATATTTATAGTTTTGTTCAATTTTTATGCAATTTTACATGTTTATAAATATTTACTGTTATTACATTATTTTATAAAATATTAAAAATTAAATATCTATGGAGCTTACGCCCCGTGCCTCGGGGCTTACGCCTCGTTGAGGCATATGTAAAACGTCTCGCCTTACGCTCGCGCTTTTTAAAATACTGATAATAACCACTCAAAAATACTAGCTTTCCAATTAATTCCTTGGTTTGAATCCAGAAATGCCACTCCCTCCCTGACAGTGTGTATACGGTTAAAACCGGGCCTATCCGATTTTACTATTTGACCGGGGACCGGGAGGTTGCATCGAATGATGGCCTCGTAACGGAACAGACTAAATCACGAGGATAAGATACTGAGTTCAGTATCGAGATATCTATCGAGATCGAGGCTAGTAGCAATCGAAGCCAAATGAGACAGACATCTAGCAAGATCAAAAATAGCACAATAACAGAAAGGCGAGATATCCATGACTGGTCGAGAATCATGGCGTAAATCTCGGAACGGATCAAATCAGAAACGGTTAATTAGCTAATCATGAGATTTCCTTCTGTAATTAGAATTATACCATAAGTGAAATTCCTTTACTATTTAAGGGGGGTTCTAATCATCTGTAAGACACATTGTTCACAGATATCAAAGCAATATAATTCTCTTTCTCGTTTATACTATTGTTCATCAGCTTGTTATATTTTAATTGTTCTTGCATCAACCAGTTCGAGGATATTCAAACTCGAGGGCTGAGTTCCATTCTAACACTAGTTTGTTTTACTTTATAGTTCATTTTTGTTATTAATCTTCATATTTATCAATTGGTAATAAGTGAAATCACGTATCATTAGAACCATATTATAAGTTTAATTGTTATCCAATTTTAAGTGTAAACGCAGTGTAAAATCAGTTCGTCATTCATGTTTGCAATATTATTTGTTACATCGATAGTGAGACGAAGTAACAAAAATTTATGGTCATGTACACTGAGAATTTTCTACGCTAACCTATTGGTGCCACCTTTGTTCTATGAGGGAACATAGCAATAAATCTTGATCAAAGTGTTCACCAAAAATATATATATATATTGATCAAAGTGTGGGGCAAGTGAGAAACTCATAATTTGGATTTGAGAAATAGACCCTATGTCCATCTGTTAAACTGTTTCATGCGGGTTGCTGATCTTCATGATTCAGACCAGTAGTTGTTACAAGGAAAATATTGAAAACAGGCATTGAGGGAGACATTCGTTCTAGCCAATCCAGGAACCTATAGAAAGTCTTGGCAAGCCAAGTATAATTCATGGAAATCAATAGGATCATGGGATAAGCATACCAAAATACACATTGTGGTACTACCAGACAGACCAGCAATGACAGAGTAAGAGTTGTGGAGAAATTTCCAACTCTTATACATATTTGCCACTGCTCGCTTCTGGCACGAATTTTTACGGAGGTGACGGAGAAGATGAACATGAAGAGAAGAATGCTAGCTTCCATTAAAGTAAACTCGTGAGAAACTGCTACAACGTTGAACGGATCCCATTGCCAGGGAGGTCCGATTCCAGATTTGAGAAGGTTTACTAACACTAAGATAGTGTGCCTAAGATCAAAATGATCAATGGTTACCATTTGGATATTGTAGAAGATGTTTTAACCTTTCCGAGTTTATATAGATCATAAAAGGCGCAATCCCAATTTTCCTACTAGCAGGCTAGGTGGTGGTAGGAATAACAGAGCATATGGGTCAAAACTTACAAATCCTATGATACTAACGGACATGTATATGTTGACTTGTGACTACTGACTACACACGTCAAGTCGCTGAAGCAAAATGTTAATTAAGAGCGGCTGGTCGACAGAAACTGCTACTACATTATATTGACTTTCATTCTGTGCGTCTTTGGGTTGTATAAATCTAAAATTAAGGGTTTAATACCTCCTCTCAGGTTGACTCCCACATCAAATGCTCCTAGCTTTTTGATACTCTCTTTTCAGTGACCTTCATAGGTAGACTTTCGCTATGTGCTTCTGACTTACCCAACAGTTAGTCTTCGCCTTCTGCTCTATATTTCCCTTTCCAAGTGCTGTAGCTGGCAAGAAAAAGATCAAATTTAAAAATGTAAAAAGAAGTCGCAACGGAGAGTCTGGAGTAATAAATAACTATGAGAGACCAGGGTTATGGTTCCAGCAGAGGCAGAAAATCCTAAAACAGTTATCTGATACCTATGGTGGGATTTAGCAAGTACCTAGTAATTATAATTATAATTAGAAAAGCCGAGCACAAGCTAACCCAAACAACATCATTTGAAAGAAAAAAAAAACATAAAAAGTACTGCAAACTAGTTATGAAGTAGTTGCAAAAACGGACTAATAAAATTGCAACCATGGGAAGCAGTATAAATGGAGACTGAATAAGAGCATCATAAGAAACACACATTCTGCATCCTGAAGACCTCTTATCCGAGACACGGTTCAGTATCAAGCGTCCAGCAACTGGTTCTCTATATTTCCAATAATTACAATTCAAGCAATGTCAGAACACAAGCTAGAAATCAGTTTGAATATCAATGGAGCTCAGAAAGAGTGCATTTGAGAAAATAAACTATCCAGCCGCATGACAAAATCCATGTAATTACTCATGAAGTAACCAACACATGATACGATATAGCAACAACCAAATCTATGCATGGGACTTTAATATGAACCCAAATATAACAAGAGTATTCGTTCCAAAAGTGAAATGGAACAAAATCACCGTAAACCTATCCTCGTTTCAATTACAAAGTAAGATAATCAGCTAAAATCAGTTCTCGGGTAATTTCTCCATTGAAAGTAGAGGTTGTCAAGATACAAGAAATATGGGAAAATGTGATTAAAACACAATGAAGGA